CTAGAACTATGAGTTATTCCAAGTCCTGTCACAGCTGATGAAAGCCTCCTTTGGGACACAGTCTAAAATTGATTGGATTCTCCTTGCTATAAGAGGCTTTTATGTTTATATATTTTTTTGCTGTGAAAAAGCATTAAGCTCATGATAAGCATAGTTTGGGAATTTTCTATCCTATGTTTTGGTGAATCAGCTAATCAGCATCATGCTGAAGCCTACTAAAAGTATACACCCTCCTTCTTTTAAACAGACCTTAATATTCTGAGCATCTTTTTGATATTTAGACTTAGAGAATTTTCTCTCTTTATCAGTTTTCTCCCTTTATTAATAGTGATGACAAGTTGAGACACTTTTACCGCTGTCTCCAAGATTGCTTTTGAAAGGTATTTTACCCAGCCAAGAGGTTGCGGCAAGAGTATCAATGTGAGTTGGAAGCCAGCTTGGGCTACATAGTGAGTTCAAGGCCAGCCTGGACTGTACAGTGAGACCCTGTCTCAAAAAAAACAAACAAAATTTAAAAAAAAAAAAAAAAAAAAAAAAAAAAAAAGGTGTTTGACCTACCTTTTTTTCACTTTTATTTTTCTTTATTCAAGTCACTCACTATGATGAAGAAAGGATCAGTAATGAATCACCATGCCTAATGTGAATTCTGTGTTATCATCATTATCATCACCATGATTATTGTTTCTTAACAGCTTTTGTACCAGCCACTGCCTTACACAATTTACCACATCTTTAAGTAGCGTGAGCTCATCAAGCCCGGGATAGGCGTTGTTGGGTGTTGAGTAATAAACAAGCTAAGTCTCCAACTCTGTTATGAATGCTGGTCACAAGCTGTTAGCACTGCTAGGACAAATAGAGTGACTAAATTTACTGTATTTTCACTTAGACTGTAGATCCCAAGCACTGTGCAGAAATGTTGGAGTCAAGGGAAAGCCAACTAACATTCAGGGAAGAGAAAATAGTAGTTCACTTTCCTATTGCAGTTAGTGCTCTGGTCTTAGCTCCTAAAATTTGTACTTTTTCCCTACAGTCTCTTTCTAAAACTCTTGTGATCTCATATGAAAAGAAAAACGTCCTTGAACTCTGAATAATATTGGACCTCTCATGTCTCAGAGGAATATATAATACAAAGCAAGGACTTTTTCATGTCACTGAAAGCAGAAATTGGATAGAAGAAGATCCACTGCTTGTTAAAAGAATTACTTTAAAGAAAAAATAGCTTGAAATTTTTAGCAGTTTCATTGGAAAAAATTAACTTATTAGGTTGGTTGGAATATTAAATAATTTCATTAGAGTTTAAAACTTATTGATCAAGTTTCAAAGAAAACAATAAATTTTGTATAATTTAAATATATTAATTCACTGCTATTGAGTTAGAGTGTAGAAAGCACAGTGGTACCTTGGTTCACAAACTCAATTCTCTCCATGATTCTGGTCACAAACCAAACTGGACGAGAATGGAATTAAATTTCCCCATAAGGTCAATATTAAACCTAACCATCGAATTTGATTTGGTTCTCATCCAACTCAGTTTGTGACAGAATCATGAAAAGAATCAAGGTTGTGAACTGAGGCACTACTGCACTGTGAACAGAATCTGGCACTTAAGTGCCATCTAAGTGTTCACTGTCATAAATGATAGAATATGGATTATTTCTACAATTTAGGGCATTTTTCTAAATAATGCTAATAGCCCTTTTAGGTTTTTTTTTTCTTTAGAATTGAATCTGTAATTCTAGCACACGTGAGGCTGCAGCAGTAGGATTATCATGAGTTCGAGGCCAGCCTGGGCTACATAGTGAGTTCAAGGCCTGACTGAACTACATAATGAGACCTTATCTCAAAAAAAAAAAAGGTCTGGCAGTTCAGTTTGATACAGAATGAATTGTTTTGGCCCTTCCATTCCAAATTTGTAGGCCTTCTTCCTTACTTTGCTAAAAGACAATCAGATTAGGGTTGACAGTGAAGATGCTTCGTATTTAAAGATCAAGAAAATTCAGGCTGTTGCAGTCTGGCATGGAGTTCTACAGTGCCCTCATCTAACTGCAGAAACAGACTGCAATCCAAACCAAGAAATATGTGTGTCATGCTCAAAGGAAGTGAGTTTATAGTGAAGAACATTGCCTATGATGGGTTTTTCTTTTGATGGGCTTAGTAGACAGGGAGATCCTGACAGAAGCAGCAGTGGCATGGTTAAGATTTCAAAAGCCACCTCTGTCAGATTGAAAAATGTAGATGTACTCAGCTCATGACTTGAGATCACTATGCAGTCTCTTATCAGGCAGTTTAGAAAGTAGAAATAACTGTCAAGGAATTTATCATTCTGAAGTAAAGGAAGGATCTACTCCAAGGGGCAGGCAAAACCTAAAAAGTAATTAAATGAAACAGAACAAGATTGAAGTTTACGTTTGTGTAAACCCATTAGTCCCAAAAGTCTTTAGTAAAGGAAGATGTAGATACTGCTATCATTTTCTTTTTACTATTTTTTAACTTTCATTTTAGCCTTTGATCACAATGCATATTTTCTTCTCTTCCTGGCTTCTTCAAATCATTTCATACAGATACATGTGGACCATCTGTCCTTCCAAAATGCTGTCCCTTCTCTCCACAAGGGGCAGGGATGGAGGTGAGAGGCAAATATGAATAGAAAGCCAAGAAAAATCTTGCAGTTTTTTGGCTCCTCTTTTCTGGCCCTTCTTTGCCTGCCCTACAGCCCCCTGGGAACCCACAGGGAGACAAGCTTGTGTCCATTTGAAAATGCAGCAGTGGCTGGGGAAGGGAAAGTGCTAGGATGCTCAGCTTTCCTTCTCAGCACAGAAAAGTGACCCAGATGGTATGCGCTGGGCTGGAATGCACACATTCTGTACCATGGGATCCAACAGAATGGAATTGCTTCATTGTCATTAAAGCAGAACCTGAGAGATCCCAACCTCAATGGATCATACATTTAGCTAAGTAAAATGCAAGCTGGTGATTCAGATTGCTTTCAGTAATTTTGTAATAACCTGTGTCTTTCCCAGAGGCCCTCCCCCGACCTTGGGGATTGAGTGCATGCACATAGCGCTCTGGGAGAGCACCCACAGGATTGTGGGGACTTCAGATATATACTTGACCCCTAGAGCTATGTGGGATCTAGCTATTCCCCTTGGAATTTTAACCTCAATGAAGATGCTTAAGATAACTGCTCTCAAAACTCCTTAGCTTTAGTATAGACCATGTTCAGTTTAAAATGCTAAATCATACTGTTTCTGCGTGGCACCCTCTAACAGGTTTAAGACCTCAGAAAGACAGGACACATAGCTCGGTTATAGTGCACTTGGCTGACATGTTATTAAGGCTATGGTCAACCTCCAGCACTGCCAAAAAACAACAAGACAACCTTAAATAAAGCAGTGTTGCCTCAGAGGACCTTACAAACCTAAACAGAGAGTTGCTACCCAAAATCAATTTACAGAGCTGAAGTAATAAGCTTTGGAGTGAGCTGTACTACACAGATGAGCTGAATTTTATAACTTTTAAGCCCTTTCAGTTCCAGTGACTTAAAAATAATAAAAAGAAAGTAAAAATAGGATCTATTACCAAAAGCTAAGCCTGAGTTTTCAAAGAACAGTAGTGAAAATGCCAGTTTGAACACTGAACTTGCTACTTGGGGATCTCCACTAAAAACTGTCTTTATTGCCTTTGATACATAACAGCAGAGAAGCTTTGTCCCTATGGGGAAAAGAATATTAAGGCCTTCACAAGCCCTGAGCAAGCTGTGGCTGCTGCCAGTGTTGTGAACAAAAAGCTTTCAGCCTCGAATCTAGTGGCAGAGAGCTGAAAACTCATCTAATGCAAACATCCGAGGTTGCCCCCAGCTGTGAAATCCTCTAGCTTGGGAGAAGGAACACTCAATCCTTAGAGCCTGCTCTGCAGAGCGAGGACCACAGCTTATTTCAAGAGAAGCCCCTGGATGAGCTATGCAACTGCAACTTTGGTCCAGGGGTCAGATTTCACTGGAAATCTATTTTAAACACTGCAAAAAGTATGCCCATTTGCAAAATTTTGTCAGCTCTCTGTTTTGTTTCAGGACAGTAAATTAAGCCATAAATCAAACTACAGTTGAATCTGGAAAACTTTTGGTATTGTCAAAAATTAATCAGCTCTAAAGAAATGATGGCTTGACAAACATGAAATATTGAGTGGTTGAGTTGAAAAAGAGACTTTCACTTAATATGGATGATGTTGATTTCTTTGCAAATAGTTAGGCTTCTCACTTAAATATGACTTACAAGCCCATGGCTGTTAGTTTATCCAGAACAACATAGTGTAATGCCACATTCAGGAGACTGAGGTAGGAGGATTGAGACCAACCTGGGATATATAGTGAGTTCAAGTCCAGCCTGCACTACAAAGCAAAAACCTATCTCAAAACCATACAGCCAGGCATGGTGGCTGTGCCTGTGGTCGCAACACTCGGAAGGCTGATGCAGGAGGATCATAGTATATTTCAAGCCATAAATTTCAGGCCAACCTAGTCTACAACGTGAGTTCAGGGCCAACCTGAACTGCATAACTAAACCCTGTCTCATAACAAATCAATTAATTAATTAATAGAAACTGTTTTGAAAAACAAAGCATACATGTTGCATGTGTACTACTGCTTAGAAGCAAGAGACAGTGTTATGTTGAGAGTTGTTAGATCCACATGGGCCTAATTTGAGCCTCAGCTCTGCCACATGTAGCTGCAAGTTCCCTCAGTTTTCTCATCTTCAGAGTAGAACTAGCTGTGTGTAGAAGAGCATCCCCATAAGCCTAGCAGTCTGAGAGGCTGAGGAAGGAGGCTGGCAAGTTTGAGCCCTGATTTCTGTTTCTGTGTAGTGTTTTTCAGCTTTTGCTGGAAATTGTAGCTCATAAATACAGCCCCAGCCATCAGCTATGTTTGGCCATCTAACACAGTTGTTCTGTGTCAAAATAGTTTCCATCTTCCTCCAAGAGTGCTGTTTCTGTTTCCTTCCCAGTTTGAACGCCATGACCCAGTGGATGGAAGAATAACTGAGAGGCAGTTTGGTGGCATGCTGCTGGCTTACAGTGGGGTGCAGTCCAAGAAGCTAACTGCCATGCAGAAGCAGCTCAAGAAGCACTTCAAAGATGGAAAGGTAGGTTGCTTTGATTGAAGGAAAGAAACAATAGGAACAGCTGGTTGTTGCAAAGGCATCAAACTAATAATGAGAGAGTGTCATGAACCAACAAATACAACTAATACATCCATATATTTAAGACCCAAAGCGAAGAGTGAGCAGCAGGCAAGGAAGGGGAGAGAGGCCAGTCATCCCAGATTTCTTATTCCGGCAAAAGGTGGCTCCATACATTGAAATTGAGAATTTCAAAGGAGAGGCTAGTTTGGATGAGAAGGTAGAGTTGCAGTTGTAGATGTCTTGTATTTAAGCTATCAGGGGACTATTAATCATATAATCAATAAGCACCTGGATATTTATCACTATACCATTATAGTCAAAACCATGAGAATGGAAGAGATTTCCTAAGGTGAGTATTACACAGAACAACAAGAAGAAAGTATATGTGGACTAAGGAAAGAACTCACTGGAACACGAACATTTAAGCAACTAAGGAAATCTAGGAGAACCAGAGAAAGATACCCAAAGAAAATAGTGAAATCAAAGCCAAGAAAAAGGGTTCAGGAGCTAGGATTCTAATATCACATGTGACAGAGAGGGCCCAGGAAGATAACAATTAAAGCATCTATTTTGGTGAAGTGAAAGTAACTAGTGACCTTTGGGAGACCTGTTTCATTGCAGAGGTCCAATGATGGACATGTTTGATGAGAAGTAAGAAAAGACAGAAAAGAAGCAGGAAAAGGAAGAAAAGCCTCGACAGAGTAACAGCATCTGCAAAACTCTGAGGCAATACACTCATCTATTCTGGCTGCCATAACAAAATATGAGTGGTTTTAACAACTGAAATTTATTTTTGCACAGTTCTGGAAGCTGTGTGTGCTCTCATGAGCTTTCTCGTACACACAGAAGAAAGGGAGTGCTTGGCATTTCCCTTTTAAGGACACTAACCTTATTGCATGAGGGCCCACCTCCATGTCCACATTTAGCCTTATTTCCTTGGAAGCCCCATCTCCAAAGACAGACACACAGGAGATTAGGGATGTAACACATGAATTTAGGGAGGGAAGATGGAGACACAAACAATCAGCAGGAAAGACAAAGCTGACACACATGAGGGACTTAAAGAGAGTTAGTGTGTCCGAAAATACTGAGCAGGAGGGGCTGGCCTGAGATAGGTCAGAGACTCGAGCTGTGTGTACAAGCAGTGTACATAGTTTATTCACAGTGCAGCAAGAAGCTACTAAAGGGTTGAGCAATGAAATGCTATGGTGGTATATGTGTTTAAAGAGATATCCCGTAGAAAGGAACTAACATAGAAGCTCAAAGATACATAATAAGGTTGTTAAAGAATTTGAAGGGGTGATGGAGTCTTTTGAGCTGGTGCAGGAAGCCAAAAGGACAGATGAGTCAGTATTGGGGTTCTCACTAGTGGCAGGATGAGCAAACTAAATTCATTTAACAGAGACCAATTGAAAAATCAGGTCTCTAAAAGGTCACAAATGCATGAACACACACACACACACACACACACACACACACACACACAGAGCAGTGCTTAGCTAAAGTAGAGAGCAAATCTTCTTATTCCTCAGCCCAGTACCCTTCCCACTGGACAGTGATTACTATTTAGCTACGACCAAAAGACTGACCTGGCACTAAAAGTTTGAGACATCACTATGGTAGTATAGTACAGTAGACTCAAAACTTAGAAGGCAAGCTCAAGTCCAGATCAAAGCTTTCTATAGTCATAATAGACAAATCACTCAACCTTATGACCTCAGGAATTGAGAAGTTTGTCCTACTTACTTGCCATAAGGACCATTCTACCTTTAAAGACTCAATACCTGAATAGAAGAAATAGGCTAGCGAGTATTTGTCCCCGTTTTCCCAGACTGTGTACAGCAGATCTTGTATGAATAGCATTGCCCCAAGTTGGTGGAGAGCCCTTCTCTGCCAGACTTTTCCGTCCCTGTCTTAGATGTTGAAAACCTGAAAGGACCTCTGAGCCAGCTGTTGACTATAGCCAAGGACAGAGTGGGCTCTGAGAGATGTCGGCTTTTCTAAACTCAGTCCATCCTTTCCCACAGCAGATACTCTCTTTGCTGTGAGGGAAACTTGTCATTAATGGAAAGTGTAAGAAAAATATTTCTCTCTCATAGAGCACTTCTTCACTACCAGTACCAGGTGTATGTCTGCTGGAAATTGTAACTTCAGAAAATTGATCACTGGTGTTCAGGTGGATTTTTTTAAAGCTCCTTTGCTGAAAGCACAGAGTTTACATTAGGAAACACTCCCTTTGATCAGACTTACTTTTAAAGGTTGTTCCAGACATTGATTTGACCTTAGGATCATTATCATAAAAGCCTAATCAAGAAATAAATTGCATGTCGGAGATAGCACCCTGAAATGAATAAAGTGTTTTAGCTCTGGCAGGAGTTAATTCAGGACCCGAAGACCTTGCAAAAGAGCTCTGAAGTGAAAGGACAAATTTCATCAAATGATGAAAATTTTGGGTGCTAAATTACTTCTGGCCAGAATTTTTACTTTGCTTTAGCAAGGAGATGAAGATTGATTGTCCTGTGGCATTGATTAAATAATTGTGAGCGTAGCAATTAACTAAAATGAGAGTTAATGAAGGGAAATCACCAGATTCCCCTTATAATTGCTTCTTTTATTCCACTTTGGACTTGTTAATATGACAGTGAACATAAAGGTGTAATTTTTTTCCTTTCTGTACCAGGAATCAAACTCATGACCTCACACTTGCCAGGCAGGTCCTTGTGCTGCTGAGCTAAGTCCCTGGTCAAAGATGTAAATTTTTATTTGGCTCACATTAATCAGTTTCTGTGTCAAAATATCAAACCTAACCCAAAAGATTGAAGGTCCTGCCAGGCGTGGTGGCTCACACCTGTAATCCCAGCACTCGGGAGGCTGAGGTGGGAGGATCGTTGCGAGTTCGAGACCAGCCTGGGCTACAAAGTGAGCTCAAGGCCAGCCTGAACTGCATAGCGAGACCCCGTCTCAAAAAAAGAAAAAAAGAAAAAAAAAGATTGAAGGTCCTACTGGTGGCATTAAATATTTACATATAATTTAATGACCGCCCAGTCCTTCATAGCCATATTTTTCCTCTGTCTCTGTATTAGACTTGTTAGATATCAACGTGCCTTTGTAGAGATGGAAGAAGAGAAATTAATGGCCTACCCAGAGTGTACACCAGAGATGGAGAACCTTTTAGAGCTTTCAGTGATACAAACAGCCTGTTCTGGCACATGTACCATAGGTTGCCACCACTGGTAGACTTTTTTTTTTTTTTTTGTACTGGGGATTGAACTTACAACCTTGCACTTGCCAGGCAGGCAACTTATGCCACTGAGCTAAATCTCCGGCCCTCTATTCATAGACTATAAAGTAAGGACTCTTCTCAGGTCTTTTCCTTATTTCTCCCGAATGTTTGTTTGAGGAGCAGGGTTGTTTGTTTGTTTGTTTGTTTGTTTTGTTTTGTTTTGTTTGCTTGTAGGAGCTAAGACCTGGTCATATTATTTCTCTAGAGTAGAGCTTCTCAACATGAGGAGCACTTGGGAAGTTGTCAAGAAATGTAGTTGTCAGGACTTTGTTAAAACCAATTCAGTCAGATGCTCAGTATGTAGGTTCAAGCATGTGTTTCTTAAAGTCTCCCTAGTTTCATCTACCTCAGTCTTTTCCAACCCTATACATATACATACCAAAGAATCTACATAGAGTTTGATGGAATAAATTGGTTACCATTAGTTCTGTAATAATGAGCCTGCTAGCTTCTGCCTGCCACTGAGTACTTTCTATATGCCAAACTTTTTTTTCTTGAATGGCCTTACTTTCTAGTTCAGGCTGGCCTTGAGCTCCCAATGTAGCCTGGGCTGGCTTCAGATTTTCAGCAATCATCATCCTGCTTCAGCCTGCAGAGTACTGGGATTATAGGTGTGTATCACCTCACCCAACTATGACAAAGTTTTTATGTATCTTCTTGCTTAACTCCAATCCTGCTTGGTAAACAGACTTCTCAGTTTTCAGATGGAAAAATATTCTGAGCCTTATTTACCAGAGATCTATACTGTTTTAAGAGGTGGCACCAAGATCCAAAGCTAGGAGGGAGTCTTATTTTGGATCCCGTAATCTTCTGAGTAACCATTGCCAATCCTTGATCACTTGATTTGAATAAACACAAAATTTTGATGAAACAAAAAACAAGTATCTCCAGACTCCAGCCTCAGGTCCTCAGGGAGATAGCTAGAAAGGAGGGTTGTGGAATAAGAAAGTGGAAGATTTTAAATCCTAGACTAAGAAGCTTGGAGGTTTCTCAGGCTGACAGTGGGAAATCACTGACATCTTGTGAGCAGAAGAGATGAAGATAGATAGAATGCAATGTTTCACAATGTTTTGGGGAGATCAGATACTTGCACCAATGTAACAGAAATGATGTAATTTGTAATTTCCCCTGCTGGCAAGAAGCAGTTGAAGAGAAGCCTAGGGTTTGCTACAGAAAACTACTTGTGATTGCAGATTGACCAGAGGGTAGACCATAATTAGTGAGAGTTGTGTTATGTAAGGAAGAAGGAAAGAGACTATTAATCTTTTCAATGGACCATAGAGGAAACTTGGGCAGTTGGATTGATTCCTGGCAATGGATCTGCCGTGACTGATTTTAAAACAGGGCCAGGGAACCATCCTTTCCAGTCTTTGCACTCATTCGGGGCCAGCCAGCACTGGATATCTGGCTTTGCAGCTGACTCCAGAGGAAGCTTGAGTTTTCTTTACCCCTTTTTTTGCCTTTTCCAACTGTACTTTAGTTTTTTAAACAGTTTTATTGAAGTGTGATTTATATACTATCAAAGCCATCCATTTTAAGTGTACAATTCAGTGATTCCTTCATGGATTTACAGTTAGGCAATCATCACAGCCATCAAGTTTTAGAACATTTCTGTCACCCAAAAAGATCCTTCATTCTAGTTTTCAGTTAATCCTCATTTCCTCCTTACCCCCAGGAA